GTCTGAGGACCCTGAGGACTGAAAGAGAAATGAGGCAGAATCAAGGAGGTTCTTCTCAGATCCATTAGGTTGTTTCACGCCTCCTCATTCTGTATTAGAATACTCAGTAAGCAGGTCTGTGTTAGTGAGCATATTCAGATCACAACATTTGTTAAGTCAGTGAGTCAGAAAATGGCTCAAAGCAGAGCTAGTGAGCAGGGGAATGTAGCATCATGAAATAGAAAATGCTTTCAAGGTGGGGCAGGAGAACCGGCTGTTCCTTCCCTATCACACATTAGCTGGGTGACCCTGAGCAGTTACCTCTTTTTTTCTGGGCCTCATTTCCCCTTTGAGTTCTGACATATTTGGCAGATCATCATTATGGTCAGAGGAGAAAAATGCATGCATTTTGTCTATAATTGTTTTGAAAAAGAAGACATTCATGGAAAACCCTCTATGTTCATGGGAATCTGGGAATTGAAGAGTTTTTTTTCCTTTAATCAAATCCAGGGCTTCCCACCCTCGGCTCTGTTAATGTCTTAGGCTGGATAATTCTTTGTTATAGTGGGCTCTCCTGTGCATTATAGGATGTTTTCCACTATCTCTGATTTCTACAAACTAGATGCAGGTACCATCCACTTCCCTCTCCCTAGTTGTAACAATCTAAAATGTCTCCAGACATTGCTAATTGTTTGTTCTCTGGGGGCAAAATCTACACCCTGTGGAGTCTGAGCCCTGAGTTGCATTCCCAACAGAAACTGACAAATTCCTTAGAACAAGCATGTCAAACTCAAAGGTAAAGGGCCAAATAAACAAGGTTTAGGTTTATGTGGGTCACAAAAAAACAGAAGCTTTAATTTTTATAGAAACATAAGTTTATTTCGATAGAGACATGCTGAATACAAAGGGCTAAAATAAATGAGAAATCATTAACATAAAATAATAGAATATTTTAATAAAAATTAATATTTTTTCTTGAACATTAACTTACCAGACACTGAATAACTGCACAAATTAATAAGCTTAACGCAAATAAACCTATTTTTCTTGTTCTCTGAAAGCAAAATATTTCCTGTTGTGCACACTAAACAAGTCAGTCCAAGACTAATGACATGGCAATTGGCTGCTAAAATATTCGCTGCTAGTATTAGTGGAGAGAAATGGTGTACCTGCGTGTAAGGTCCATAAGGGAAATGAATGGAACACGATTATAGTAATCAGTCATTAGCGAACATTATGTCGTTATTAATAATTATGTATAACAGGATATTATAAAAATTAAGTTACAAAATTTCTTTTTTTATTAAAACATTTCTTACATACTGTTATATTGGCTGGGCTGCAAAAATATTCATTGTGGGCTACATGAGGCCCGTGGGCCGCGAGTTTGACATGCTTGCTTAGAATAATATAGCTAAGGGTGAACTTGGGAGGGTGTGGAAATCAGGCTGAGACTTCCCTCCAATTCTAAGGACCATGTTTCTGGGAGTTCAGAAATGTCAGAAGTGCATAGGGTCTGGAGGCAGGAAACTGGCATCTGTGTCCCTATATTATCACTGACAAGCTGTGTGATGTTCATCATATTGCTTAACTCTCTGAGCCTCAGAGTCCCCATGAATCCAAAGAAAGTAATGCTTCTCCTCCATGAACCTTCCTCCCATCATCCCACCTCCACACACACAACCAAAAGTTTGTTAGGAAGACTGAAAGTGCAATATGTGAAAGTACTGTGAACTAAAACGCACAAACAAATAGCATGTTATCACTCTAAAGTGTTTATTTTTTTCCCTGGGAGAGCATAGAAAGGAACTTTATTCCTAGATCATTTTTCTGTCAAGAGCAGTAATGGTGACATTGAAGGTACCACCACGGCAGTAATGAAAACAAATAATGGAGAACATTCTCAGGGAACACTGCCACAGTGCCAGTTCCAAGACTTGATTTCTATTAGGCCATGAGTTAGCATTTTTCCAGTAATAATGAAAGGTCTCCTGAAAAAAAAGGCATCATGGCATTGGGCAATGGCAAGAATGTCCCATTTGGCTGTTCACATACCTGGCAGTAACTTGGCCCTACGCTGATTCTTTCTTCAACAAGGTTATCAACCTGGAAGATGCCTATGTGGCTCATGTCTTTCCCCATCGTAGAACTTCAGAACTGAGAGAGGCTTTTGCATGCTGCCTGGAGTCAAGGAGCTCTGCTTACAGCCACAGTCAGGCCTAGAGTAGGCAGCTCTCCCAATGCCTTAGGCCAAGCCAAATCAAGCTGGGTCCAGGGTTTGAACTAAATTCTCCAGTTGTGGGAAAGTTCACCCCTAGAGTAACATCTTAGCAAGCAGACTAGGTACCAGGTCAACAGGCTGGTGATTATCTGGGAAGCTTAATTAGCTCAGAAACAACCTAGAATTAAAGATCAACAACATTTGGGGTTTGAGGGACAGGTTCAAGTTATAAGGAATAATGGAATGCTTTGGTATATGGGCCATTTTTCTTATCCTTTGAGGGTGATATAGAATAGTGGCTAAGGCCTTCACTTCTGAGCCCTGAGCATGTACCCTGGATCTACTCCTTACTAGCTGTGTGAGCATGGGCACCCAGTGGGTGCTATATAAACATTAGCTCTACTATTCCAGGTGCTACTTGATGTTGGCAGCAACCTCTGACAAGCTGTGTGACCTTCATCATACTGCTTAACCTCTCTGAGCCTCAGAGTCCACTTCACATTACAGATGTGGCCTCTAAAGTTTAGATAAGTTCATCCCTACACAGCAACCCCATCCTTGTTGCCCTGCTCTTCCTCTAAGTTATTCTGTCTTCTGTCTCTGCCATCTAAATGTCATCAATCCCTTACGTCTGATCAAATGTTAGCTCCTCTACAAATTCTGCCTCCAGAATGAAATTAATCTCAGCTTCCTCCAAGCTCTGTAGCATTTTCTTGGTATCTCTGTTGCACTATGGCACTCACCCGGGCCACAGTAGGCAATAAAAAAGACTGAGATAAGGACATGACACACTGCAGACTGTGATAAAGACCAGAGAGGAAGCACAAGCGAAGAACTCAGGAGGATCGAAGGAAGGAAGAAAGGTTTCCTCCTTGAAGCACTCATTTCCTGTTTCTCCCATCTGACAGTCATAATATGTCATGATAGCTTTTACAGCCCTCACGGCTTTCTAGCTCCAGACCAAGCTAACTCCATATATACGCTCTCCCTTCAAGAGAGGAAGTATCTCAGGGAGCAGAACAGTTTGGATTCACCTCCACACCCCCACAGCACATGGTCAAAGGTTGCAAGTGCTTAAAAACTCCTATGGCACTGAACTGAGAAAAGCTTGCTGGCTGACAGTGTGAGACAGTGCTGAATGACGGTGGAGATGACAGTGATAACAGGGAGGTTAACTGAACCGAAACCCAGCAGTCACGAAGGGTGACATACGCACAACGTTTCACTATGACTGAGTGAACAACAGGAGATCCACGAATCAGACTTAGAGATGCAGCCCACTCACTGGCAAACTGAAAAGAAACTGGAAAAGGCATAGGGGCGGGGACTATCTTATCAGCTAGATTAATGTAGCAGTGGCATAAGAAATACTGCTTCCTTGATTGTTTAAAAAATGCAACTTTTTAAATCATTGAAAATATCTTTGAGTAATAAGATGGCAGTGGAGTAAGTGGATGCTGCATGGACACACTCCCAGAAAATATCTTTTATATTGCTCATTGAGGAAGGCATAGAACAGTGATGGCGAACCTATGATACGCGTGTCAGAGGTGACACACGAACTCATTTTTTTGGTTGATTTTTCTTTGTTAAATGGCATTTAAATATATAAAATAAATATCAAAAATATACATCTTTGTTTTACTATGGTTGCAAATATCAAAAAATTTCTATATGTGACACGGCACCAGAGTTAAGTTAGGGTTTTTCAAAATGCTGACACACTGAGCTCAAAAGGTTCGCCATCACTGGCATAGAAGATATGCAGAGGTATCATAGGTAAGACAAATAATATCATCAGAGCAAGTCGAGTGCTATTAAATTTTATTGTAGTCCCCTTGTTCTACCTGCTGATTGTATATAGTTGAGATCATAATGATTCTGTATATTTTATAATATATTTATTTTTCGAATAAATAACAGATACATAAGGTACAAAGTTTGAAAGCATCAAAGTCAGCTTCTCTCCAGCTCTTGCCTCCCATATATCCTTGGAGAGGAGTCCTATGCCTACTGCTAAACATTTTTTGAGTGAGTTAATAGCCATTAATCCTTCAAGGTTCTCAGGAACCAAAAATTGTCTACAAGAATGAAACATGTCCCTAATGTAACATCTCTGTGCTGATAAAATATACAATTATACTACCTCTATCCCAGTTACATAACCAGAATGACACAGCATTCCCAAATGACAAAGGTAGTTGGAGGGACTCAACTAAGATGCAATCGCTTAACAGGTTACTGTCCAAAAGATTTCCCTGAGATGTTCTCAGTACCCCACAGTAGTTCAAGAAGCTCAGAACTTGAAATCAGAGTCTGCATGCCTTTGGGTTGTAGTGACTAAGACATTAACCCCAGACCAATGTCCCTAAAGGCAGGCTCCTTCTTCTTCCCAGATCAGGCCTGGCAGTCTTTCTCACCTTGTTCTGCTCTTGGGTGCTGGTCTAGGAGGTGAGAAGAGTGGGTGGTGGAACTCCAGTTCCAATGAAGCAGTTTAAAGAAAGTCATTTCCATAAAATGTAGTTCAAAAGAGAGAAAGCTTTTCTCTACTTACCTAAACTCTATCCTCTTCAGACTCATTTCTCCACCCCACCCACTCCACACACACACAAGTGGGGGAGTGGATCCCAAGATTTTCCTTGGGATCTGGTGCTGTGTGCTGCCCATGGGTTTACACTGTCACAAATCCTGCCACTCTGAGCATGCGCTGCCCCCCCCCGCCCCCCTGCTTATTGTGGAATTTGCTACAGTTTGGAAGTTTATTTACCAGTAAAGTGAATTTCCCTCTCTTTCCTCCCAGTACCCATCTGATAAAGTTACAGAAGGCATCTCGATTCACAACAGCCCCCACCATCCCCCACTGAATAGCATGTCGTCTGGCAACAGGAGGCGTTTGATTATATTTGGATGGCATGCCTGCATCAACTCCAGTTGTCCCTGAATTGGAACTGATGGGCCTCATGTGCTTCATCCAACAGTTTGCCTTCACCCACTCCCCACTCTGAAATGAACCTTTCTCTGAGAAAACAAGAAACCTACGTGCCATCCTGGGTGAGAGATTAACAGGAGCTGCATCCCAGCATTGCATCCCAGACATGGCAGGCAAGAGCACACTCAGAGGGGTTTCCAACAGCAAGCGGTGCTTCAAGCTTCTCTGGAGAGACTCCCCGAACCAGAGGACACAAATGTTCTCCCCAGAGTACGATAGCCCCTCATCTTAGTTCACAGACATGGAGTTCTTACTGTGTTCAGTAGAATGCCCCAAGCTACTGTTTCCTGTAGCAAGTCTCTATAACCGCCCTCTCCCCATTTTGACGTATGTGCTCTGTTAGTCACTGCTGTAGGCAGAATAGTGACTCCCCAAGGATGTCCACATGCTAATCCTCAGAACCTGTGAATATATTATATCCTGTGGGGAGGGGGGAGTTAAGATTGCAGATGGAATTAAGCTGGCTAATCAGCTGACCTTGAAAAAAATAGAGATTAGCCATCTAGGTTACCCTGTGGCCGCAGTGTAATCCCAAATGTCTGAAATAGGGAAAAGAGAAGCAGAAGAGTCAGAACCAGAGTGGTGGCATTGTGAGAAACTTGATCTGCCATTGTTGGCTTTGAAGATGGAGGAAGAGGGCATGAACCAAGGAATGTGGGCAGTCTCTACAATCTGGAAAAGGCATGAAAACAGATCTTTCCTAGAGATTCCTTGGTTTTAGGCCAGTAGGACACATTTGAACTCTAACCTTGAGAACAAGCTGGTTTGGCTCAGTGGATGGAGCATCAACCTGTGGACTGAAGGGTCCCAGGTTTGATTCCAGTCAAGGGAATGTATCTCGGATGCAGGCTCAATCCCTAGCCCTGGTAAGGGAGCGGACAGGAGGCAACCAATCGATGTGTCTCTCTCACATTGATGTTTCTCTGTTCCTGTTTCTCTCTCTGTCTCTCTCTTTGCCTTCCACACTCTCTCTCTCTAAAAAAAAAACACAAAAAAAACAAAAACAAAAACAAGACAGACACTGTGGAATTGCCATATGCCAGGCCTGGTACCAGGGACTGAGGGAACATTCCCATGGTATGTGGTTTGTACCTTGTACCTATCCATCGTCATCAGGGTCCAACCAGGGAAATGGAAGCCACTCTAAGTGTCTAAATACAGGAAATCTAATTCAGGTTATTGGCCACACAGGTGATTGAAATTGGGAAGCCAGTCCAACCATTAGCAATAGCAAGGGTTGCTACCAGGCTGAACTAGAGGGACAAAGAGAGAAGGTCACCAAGTGGAACCTGGACCATGAAGGGCCTGTATAGTAGGAGCTGGAGCCATGAAGGGACAGAGCCCTGCTGTAGAAGCTGCCTGAGGAAGAAAGGGAAAGAGAGAGAGAGATACCCTGCTTCTCCCTTTCTCCTACCTTCCAATCTTCTGCCAGTGCCTCCCATTGGCTGTTACCAGCTGGAAGACAGCTGACATAGGATCTTGGGATACACAGGGTCAGCCCTCCTACAGTACAGAACAGAACAGAGCTGGGGGAAAGCAGTGAATGGATTTGAGGAAGTGTAAGCCGAAGATCTGCAGATACCTCCTTTCTACATCAATCACCATGAATCTTGAAACTTGTTTACCCAATTGTTTTTTACCATGGCTTTGAAGCCCTTTCCCAACTTCTCTGGCCTTATTCATAACGTTCTCCCCATTATTCACAGCACCCCCACCACCGAGGCCTTTGCTCTGTTCTCACCTTGATAGGCAAGTCCCATCTTGGGGCACTTGTATTTTGTAGCCTCTACTGGACTCCCCATCCGTTGCCTCTCCCCTCATTGATCACTTTTTTTTTTCATTCCAGTCTCAGCTCAACTGTCATTTGCTCAGATAACCCTATCTCCCATCTAAAATAGGCCCTCTCACCCAGAGCCACCATCACATTCCCCTGTTTTATTTTCTTTAGAGAACCTGCTATTAGCTGAAATTATCTTCGTTGTATGTTTGTTTATCATAACTTTCCTCGAACTCTAAGCTCCTTGAAGGTAGGGATCCTGTCTTGTTACTTGTTATATTATTGTAAAGTTGGCTAGATGTTCACCAAAATCTGTTTCTTCTTCTTGGAAACACAATAAGGCTCATTCCATTTTCCTTTGTAGTTGGGCGTGACAGAGCTTTGCCTTATGGCACACGAGTGGAAATCTCTAGTGTTGCTTCCAGGCCTGGTTGTGAACACCTCCCATGCACACTGCTGCATGCTTTCTTCTTCCTGCCAGATGATGACAAGGCCCTCGGGGATGATAGAGGCACAAGACAAAAAGAACCTGGGCTCTTGAATGACTACATGAAGGAGAGTTGCCCCAGCAACCTACATACCTATCTTGCACTGTTATGTGAATGAAAAATAAATATGTTTTGTGTTGAGTCATGATATTAGCCTACCCTAACTGAAATAATTCTCAGCCAAGAATTCCCAATGCCTTGTCCATAATTGGCCCTCAATAGTTATTGAATGATTAAATATTAAGCTCTCAGTAATTATGCATTCAATGATGGGATATTTGTTTCTTATCCTCATTCTCCTACTAAGCTCCCTAAGGAAAGGGTTATATTAATCTCTGTGCTCTCATTGCCTTCTATTGACCCTAAACCTTTGTAGATTCAGTGGGTGTGTTTCATACTGAGTTTCCAGGCAGCATGAGGGAGACAGTGATTGACAAAGCATGGTCTAGAAGCATGGGTCTAAGGAGGAGTTTGACATTGTTGTAAGTAGCAATGTTTGTGCAACAATTTAGAGTTTACACAGGGCTCTTCACCTGATCCTTATAAAAACTCTGAAAGAAAATTACTATTATGATTCCCATTTTACAGATGATGAATCTGAGTTCATAGAAGTTATTTTGCTCAAGATCTTTGTCAAGCAACAAAGCTGGAATTAATAGATTGTTCAAAAGTATTTATGGAGTGCCTATGCTGCCTTAGCTGCTGGCTCAAGCTGCTGCACCTAGTAGGGGCTCAGGACATATGGGAACCCAAAGTTCTGAAGAAACTGAAGAAGCTAGAATCATCTTCCAGAAGATAAAAGGGAGGCACCACTTCTAGCCAAGGTCTGATAATGACTGAGAGAATTGCCTGTGTCATGCTGCCGAGTGTCTTAGTGCAAGTTTCTGGCTGGTCTGCCAGACTTGCCCAGAGGCATAGTCACCCCAGCAGTTCTCCCACTGGCCCATGCGAACGGCCCCGGAGTTCTCAGTCTGCCCTTTTCCATACATTCTTTCCTCCTTCCCGTGCCAAGATTTCAGTAGATGATTTAGAGTGGGTTCCAGGCCATTTAGCTCAGTCAGAGATTTGGGTGAAAGTTTCCTCCCACCCATCCCAGGCCTCAGATAACCCATCGGGGTGTGACAGACTATGTGAAGGAGGGGGAAGAAAGGCCATGGATATTTCCAGACCCGGGATTGGAGCAAAAGTTTCTGCAGCTGCGGTATTTATCTACTCTATTCTGGCTGTACAAAGTGTATCAGCATTGGGTTGGTAGGAAAACCTAGGACAAAAAGCCAGAGAAGAGGATGTAACTTGTCTAAATAGAAGCAGGAAAGTCTGCCCAGAGGGTCGCCTGCAGGCTGGGCTATTTGCCAAGGCAAAGAGGGTGAGTGCTGGTGTCCAAGAGGCAGGTGGATGAAGAGGAAGAGGAAGGTGAGATGGCCAGGTCTGCTGGGGCTCAGCCTTTCCCAGCTGGACAGACAACACTGCCCTCCGCGCTCAGGTGCCTCTCTCTGTAAATACTAAATCCCGGCTGCTCTTACAGTGCAGGATGTCCCACATACCGTACCTCTGAGGCGGGGTGAAATACAAATATGCCTTTTCATAATAGCTTTACACCTGGGGCAGCAGAGAACTGGTTTATTACCTTGGTAAACAAAAGTCAGAATTCAAGAAGGTACAAACTTTGCCCAAGGCACTTCTGACTGTGCACCTTGTGTTTGTGAAATGAACTCGATATATATGATGTGAAGCAATGGAAGGCTGGGCTTTTTCTCTTTGCTCTCTCTCTCTCTTGTCTGATTTCCAAGGTTTAAAAAGTTTGTGTGGGGTTGGCGTGGAGAAGGAATTTGCTTTGGCTCTGGTTTTTTCAAGTGTTTTGAAATCATGCTGTTAGTATGAAAAAAATATGTGAGCCAATTTATATTGTTTTCCAGAGAGAGCGCACTTCTTGCCACTTTCAGGGTGACACTAGGGTTTGTGGGTGGGAGACAGGGTAAACCAGTTCTGGAAACACATAAAGAAACAAGAATTTGCATTGGACTTAAACATTAAAAGCAATAATAAAATATTTATCCGGTGTCTACTTTGTGCCAAGGGCAGAACCATGAACTTTCATAAGCATTATTTCATTTAATTTTCACAACCACAAGGAGTGAGAATTGTTGATCAAAATGTCCACTTTAAAAGGGAGGAAACTATGGTTGTTAAAGAGATTCAAGCTCCAGTTTTCTAATCCCAACTTCAGGATTTCCTGTACAGTCCTCCAACCTCTATATGGGGTCACAGACCATGTCCCGCCAGGTCACTTTGCTTGCCTCCCTGATACCCCCTATTTTTGTCTCATTCTCTGCCTGCACTTGGGGAGAGGACTGATCTCCATGCTTTGATGAAATTCTGCTTCAAGGATTTCCAACTCTTTAGCAGCCACCTGGTCATCTGGGCCACTCTCACCAACCAGCACCTCCATAGGTTTAAGTGCAAAGGATTCAAAATATGTGTATTACATTTCCCATCAAAATACACATAAGCATTAAAGCAAAGGCAAAGTGAGAACAACGGTGAACTGAGAACACATATCACGTTCTGTCTTCTCCATGAATGCCTCTGCCTTCTCCCATCCCCGGCCCAAATAAGTCAGATAAGCTTCAGCTTTTAAGCATCTCAACCTTTTGGGTTCTTTTCCCAAATAAGCCTTTGAACCTAAAGAATTTTGCCCATCTCTGTTTTCATGTTCACTCCTCAAATGTTCAGGGAAGGTTTGCCTGATACAGAGCTCAAGCCAGTGAAATTTTAACTCTTTCATCCACAGATTACTTCCCAAGCCATCTAAAATGAGAGTGAACTCATTAGGCTTATATTTAAAAGAAGTCTCTATTGATACATCAATTTGTACCTGTCTTCACAGATGAAGGATTCCTTGTAAGAACATACAAAACTGAGGCTAGAGAGAACAGGTGTCATTAAGGCATTGTCAACTCAGCAGTTTCAGGGTACCAGAGCCATGGCTGCTTGTGCTTGGTAGGATTTCAAGGGAAACCACAGTCCCCACCTCCCCCGACTCCCTTTCTATCACCAATCCCTACCATTTTTGCTTCTTTAATTGCAGCTCCTTGAGGAATACCTTTGGCTTTATTGATTGAAAGCTTTTATAAAATTATGAAAATGCATATACTCATTGCAAGGAAACAGATTTCAGCTGTAAATGAATTAAACAGAATCCCTGTACTGGGGTCCTTTAGGGAGAAGAAATGGAGATCTTTGGGCTGTGAGACAAAGAGAAGCTTAATTTGGTGACTCTGCCCTGAAAACCCAGGCAAGCCTAATATTTTAGCTCTTAAATGAAGTTTAGAGAGCATCTAATTCAACCCCCTTTTCTTATACAAAAGGAAACCGAGGCTCAAAGTGGAATAAGCAAGGCCAAGGCTTTCCTAGCTGGCCAGTGACAACCCACCCACCCCATCCCAGCCCCCCCCCCCACCAATTCTCTGAACAGGGCTGGTGGCTCTCTCCATTCTGTAATAATGCAAGAGGGAATTAAATAAAGTAAAAACCTGGTCCCAAGTCCTGGTCTGGATCCACTTACCCTGTTTTTTTGTTGTTGTTTTTTAATCACTGCCTATCAATACATGTCCT